TACTAAATACAAATGACTGAAGCACATGAAAAATGCCAAATCTAACTCCTAAAAAGGGAAGGTCAAGCTAAAATGACATTGATACACCATCGGACTGGCAAAAGTCAGGAAGTCTGTGGGGGTGTTTTTATAGGCACGACCATATATTGCCTTGCTAATCAAAAGGCTGGTGGTTCAAACCCTCCAGCCACTCCTCAAGAGGAAGATTGGGCAATCTACTTCCGTAATGATACCGCCTTGGAAACCCAAGGAGGGTTCGCAATGAGTCGGTCCAACTCGACGGTAGTGAGTTTTATATATTCTCTATAAATGCATGAATTGGTGGCACTTCTAAGGAGGGAGTTTGGCAAGAACACACAACTACCATATGCCCCAACCATTCCACTCCTAGGTATTTTAATAAAATTAATAAAAGCACATACCATATAAAGATGTGTACAGGAATGTTTAAAGCAGATGTTTTTATAATATACAAACACTGGAAATAATCCAAATATTAGTTAAATAGTGAACAAAATAGATCAACAAAATCTAGTATGTCTCTGCAAATGGAATACTACTCAGCAACAAAGAAGAATGAACTATTAATGAAATCAGTCACAAAAGAAAAAATATTTCAAGATCTCACTCATATGAAATATCTATAACAGGCAAATGTATAGAAGCCAAAGTTTATTAGGGGCAGAAGTTGTTGTTGTGGTTGTTGTTGTTATGTGCCATCGAGTCAGCCCCGACTCATAGCGACCCCTCCTTGGGTTTCTGAGGCAGTATCACTACGGAAGTAGATTGCCCCATCTTCCTTCCAGGGAGTGGCTGGTAGGTATGAAAGGGGCAGAAGGGAAAGGCAAAAGGAAAGTCACTGTTCAGGAAGCAGTGAGTTTATGGTGGTGGAAAATTTGGAATTAATATTGGTGATGGTTAGCACAACCTGATTCATGTAATTGATGTCACTAATTGTATACATGAAAAAATGTTCAATTGGCAAATGTTAGGTCACATATATATGCAACAATTAAAAAAAGGAATGAACTATTAAGAAAAAAAAGAACTATCATAATTCCACAAGTACATACCTTTACCCAGCAATTCCCCATTGTACTGACAAAGGACTGAGAACTGGGATGTCCATTAGGCCCATTAATAGGGTAAATCCTCAAAGAACCAGGAGACACTGGGATAGGAGAGAGTACGAATGGGGAAGCTCTTCATGTACTGGAGTGGAAGGAGTGCCAAGAATCTTGTTAAGGTGCAGAAGAGAGTGCATAGGAAGTTACTACTTGTGCTTAAAGAAAATGGAGGAAAGATAGGTATTTAAGGAGCCCTAAGGCTGGCGGTTCAAACCCAGCAGGCACTCCTCGGAAGGAAGGTTGGGCAATATACTTCTGTAGTGATACTGCCTCGGAAACCCAAGGAGGAGTCTCTATGAGTCAGGTACAACTTGACAGCACATGACAACAAGTGGCACATTAAGAGCTCTGGTGGCATAGTACCTAAGGCATTTGACTGATAATCAGAAGGCTGGCAGTTCAAACCCACCAGCCACTCCTTGGAAGGAAGGTTGGATAATCTACTTCCACAGTGACACTGCCTCAGAAACCCAAGGAGGGGTCACTATGAGTCAGATCCAACTCAACAGCAGTGAGAGTGGCACACTGGTTAAGCACTCAGCTGCAAACCGAAAGCTGCGAACTCACTGGCAGCTCTGTGGGAGAAAGATGTGGCAATCTGCTTCCGTAAAGATCTACAGCTTTGGAAACCTTATAGGGCAGTTCTACTTTGTCCTATAGGGTCACTACGTGTTGGAATTGACTTGACAGTAACAAGGCTTTTTGGGGGGCTATAAGGAGCTCTGGTAGCATAGTGCCTAAGGCACTTGACTGCTCACCAGAAGGCTGGCGGTTCAAACCCACCAGCCACTCCTCGGAAGGAAGGTTGGGCAATCCTACTTCCGTAGTGATACTGCCTCGGAAACCCAAGGAGGGGTCGCTATGAGTCAGAGCCGACTCGACGGCAACAACAACAACAACAACAACATATATATGTGTATGTGTTTAAAAGAGCTCTGAAAGGCACAAAGGAATCATGGTTGTCTCAAAAGAAATGTGGAGAAAGGAACTTGAGGCTGGGAACTTGGGTAGGAGGGAGAATTTCATTGTGTAGTCTCTTCTGCATTTTGGCTTTTGAGTCATGTGAATGCATTACATGGTCAAAAATTAATCAAACTGCCATCAGGATGGCTATTATCAAAGAAATAAGGAAAACAACAAGTGTTGGCCAGAATGTGGAGAAACTGGAATGCTCGTGCATTGCTGGTAGGAATGTAAAAGGACATAGCCACTGAAGAAAACAGGCAGGCAGTTCCTCAAAAAGTTAAACATAGAAACACCATAGGACTCAACACTTCCACTTTTAGTTATATACCCAAGAGAAATGAAAGCAGGGACTCAAGACTTGCACACCAAGGTTCACTGCATCACTATGAACATAGCTGAATGGTGGAAACAATGAAGTATCTATCAACAGATGAATGAATCAACAAAATGTGGTCTAGCCATACAATGAGATATTACTCACCCATAAAACGGAATGAAATTCTGATACATGTTACAACAAGAACTTTGAAAACATTGTGCTAAGTAAAAGAAGCCAGAAACAAAAGGACAAATATCGTACAATCCCACTTATATAAAACATCTACAATGGAGAAGTACCTGGAAACAGAAAGTAGATCAGAGGCTGCCGGGAGCTGGGGGTAGGGTGGAGAATTATTGTTTAATGGGTATTCTGTTTGGGGTGATGAAAAATTTTTGGAAATGAGGGAATAGTGGTAATAATTGCACAACATTGTGAATGTAATGCCACTGAATTGTACACTTAAAAATGGTTTAAATGGCAAATTTTATGTTATATACATTTACCACAATAACATTTTTAACAGGTAATTAAAACAAAACAAATAAAAATGATTAAGGATTCCTTAAAATCTTAGAATCAAATGGCAGAATCTTGGAACCTGATGAGTAGAATCTCCAGCCTCTGCTGGAGGATTCTGAGCTATGGGAACTCTCTCCCTCCAGGTGCAGCAGGTTGGGCCATGAACCAGCTCTGCTTGGATGGAACCTTCACATGCTGGGATCCTACAGGAGGGAGAGAGTGGAGTGGAAGGCTGCCCTGGAGCCTGGGAAGCTGGCACTAGCACAGATGAAGGGCTCCGATCCTCATGCCCCCAGGAGAAGATCTGACATTGATCTGCCCACCTCCAGCCAATCAGGCACCCCCAAGGGATCTCTGCTGGGATCAAGCAGATGGGAGCTGACCTGCTGAGAGCTGGGCACAACCCAGAAGAGGTGCCCAGAGCATACACCAGCCTCGCCTGGGGTGCCAGCTGGTGCAGGTCTTTCAAGTATCAGCTTTGCAGCCAGAAGGAGAAAGTGCTTTATAGATGGGACTATGGAAGCCCAAGGGAGACCTCAGGATAGATTGACAAACAAGAGGAAGGCAGGAGAGAACTGAGGCTGTGTGCTGCTCTTCACTCATCTAAGACTTCAGTCACCATCTGTGTGCTGATGACACCTGATTCTGGGTCTGTCTCCCGAGCTGAGACTAATGTTATCAACTGACCTAGGACATTCCTCTGGATACCCAGAGGCATACCAAGCCCAACCCAAAGCCCAACCTGAGCTCACACAGCTTCCCTCTTCCTGTTCTTGCCCGGCAGAAGTAAGCCCCACCTCTCAGAGTCATTCTGGACCCATCTCATGGGCTCACAGTTATTTCTGGACCTTTTTGCCCCTTTCTAAATGGTATGCTTAGGTGGGTAGTGGTCTAGACATTTGGCTGCTAACAAAAAGGTCAGTGGTTCAAACCCACCAGCTGCTCCACAGAAGAAAGATGAGGCGATCTGCTTCCATAAAGATTTATGGCCTTGTAAACCCAATGGGGGTCACTATGAGTCAGAATCAACTCAATGGCAGTGAGTGTTTTTTGGTTTTTAAATGGTGTGCTGGGGTGAGCCAGGCTCTGGAAAAAGAGAGGTGACCTAGCCCTTCCTCTATGGCTTATGGGCTCTGGAGGAGGGAGGAGCTCTATACTGGTCAGCTTTGTACAACCCCTGTCCCCATTGGGGCTTCAAAAGAGTTGGCATCAGAAACGCACACCCAACACCACACATACACTGAATGGGGAGTGAGAGCTGGGGCTCAGGAATATATGAAGCTCATCTGCTTACAGCCTAGCCCCAGTGGGGTACTGGGGACACAGATGTGGACAGAGCTGGTTCTGGCCTACAAGGACCTCTGAGACTGAGGAGGGTGGGCTCAGGGTGGGGGCAGGGGAGACAGATGGAAACATAATGAAGATGCTCAGGAATTTGGCTGAGGAGACTGCATCGGTCTGAAAACACCCAGCGGAGTGTCAAGGAAGGGGGAGAAAGGGAGGGCAAGAAACATGGGCTAAAAGCAGAAAAGGGGCAGACACACCAGGGGGCCTGAGATGTTTCTTGTAGCAGAAGCTGAGGGCCACTGTGCCATGACAGAAGTTGGGCCTTGGTGCTGGGTTAGAGTTTGGATCATTCAGAGAGTAAGGGGAGCTGTGGAAAGGGCTTTAAATGCGGGAGGAATCTGGGTTTTAAAAAGAGCTCTCTGAAGAACAAAGAGGAGTTGAAGCACCAGGCAAAGCCAGCCACAGGGCCTGGCTATGGAGCTTGAATCCTGGATCCACCACTTATTAACCAGGAGCCTTGGGCAAGCTACGTAATCTTTTTGTACCTCAGTTTTTCCAAATGCAAAATGGGATGTTGACAGTACCTGCATCATAGGTTTGCTATGAGGGTTAAACAAGTAAATAAAGGGCTGGATGTGAACAGTGAGTGCCCAGGGTTAGCAATTACAGCAATTATAATTATGACCCAGGGAGGGATGATGTATCCAGGCTTTTCCTCAGCTACTGCAGCCTCCCCGCCTCCCCTGCCCTTTTCCTTCTCTGGCAGAGGCAGTCCTTACCTTGTGTAGCCAGTGCAGGTTCATCTGCTGCCCCACGAGGATGTGACATAGCGCCAGGATCTGAGGAGGGGGCCCCAGGGAAAGTTAGGCTCCATGTGGGACCGGAAGGCTCCTACCACTGGTCAGGATTCCCCAGACACCCACACCCTACTGCTGCTCTGGGCCTGACTCAAAGCACAGAGTCAGCAAACCCTCCCTACAGGCAATGGGAATGCCCAGTCCTGCCCTGCCCAGCCCAACCCAGCTTGGCCTCCTCCCACATTCTTTCAGGCCCCTGTCCCCATTCTCTGGAATTTCTCTCCAATGGGTCACTGGGTCCTGCTGTACTTATACCACCCAACTTAATTCACCAAATACTTTGAAAGGTCCAGGTCCCAGGATTCTAAAACAGACTTGTACCCTACCCCTGAGAAGCCCCCAGACTTGAGTCTGAATGGGCAGAATGCTGGAAGCAGACACCCAACCCAGAGCTTCCCAAAAGAGGGCCATATGCAGTGGGCCCTAATAGCTGGGCTGGTGCTCACCAGGTCAGGGGAAGAACATTTAAAGAAGGGGCAGACAACGGAAGCTGGAAAAAGCAAGATGACCTCCCATGTCAGAAGACCTAAGCCTCAGAGCGACAGCAGAACAGGAGGCCCTGGGAAAAGCCAACCTCCCCCTATAGACCAAGGCAAGACCATCCCACAGCTTGGCACAGGCCAAGTCCCTCTTCCCTTTGGCAGCAAGACCACCTGCTCCTCTTGCCAGCCCCTGCGTACCACGAGGCCTGCAATGTAAGTGAAAGCGGCAGCTGTGGTCACAAGGATGGGCACGGACCAATCGCTCCAGTAGCCCATGCGGTTGTAGAGGTACCTGAAAGGAGAAGGGGCAGGAGTCAGATCTGGTCCAGAAACAAGGATGGTCAGGAGGACTGTGAGCTCTAACACAGCCAGACAGGCCACAGGCCTGGCCCAGTGACCAGGTGGTACCCATAAAGTCCCAACGCTTCTCACTGCCCAAGCATCGATCATGCCTGCTCATGGTGAGAAACCTAGGAATACCAAGAGGCAGAGAGAAAACTACAGTTCCTCAAAGTTCTACAGCCCAGAAGTAGTCGTTACCAAGACTTTGCTGAATTTTCTTCCAGTAGATGTTCTTCCCTTTTGTGCTGATATATTTGTATACACAGCAGACCCAGGGCTACATTGTGTCCAGCATAGTGACTGAGATGCCCACATTGGATTGGAATCCCAACTCTGCCTCAATTGGCCTGTAAGGCAATAGGCTCCATGGACTCTAAGATGCCACGATTGTGAGGATCATCTCTCTTTCAGGATTAAAATGCAAAAATACAGGGTCTTAGAATTGATAATGTAACGCAATACTTGACTTCTCTGAGCCTTACTTTCCTCATCTATGGGGTGGGGATAAGAACAGAATCTCCCTCATAGTAAGGTAAGGCACACAGTAAGTGTTCAATACATAACTGCTTCTCTTCTAAATAATATAAGACTTACTGGGGTGTAATGCCTAACACACTTGACTGCTATCTAGAAGGCTGGCGGTTCAAACCTACCAGCCACTCCTCGGAAGGAAGATTGGGCAATCTACTTCCATAGTGATACTGCCTCAGAAACCTAAGGAGGGGTCGCTATGAGTCAGAACCAACTTGACGGCAGTGAGTTTGGTTTTGTGGTTTGATGTCAGTAAAAATGCTAGGGAAATGTGATTTTTAACAGTCATGTGGTACTCCATTGAATTAATGAATCATAATTTATGTAACCAGCTCCCTAGTAATGGCATTTAATAGTTTCAATTATTTTCAAAATAGAAAAAACAAATAATTTCCAATTATTCACTATTATAAATCAACACAAAGATGAAAAGTTTTATACATATATTTTTCTATAATTTGAATTATTTCCTTAGGATAGATTCTTATAAATAGAATTATAGGGTCACAGGCAATGAACCTTTTAAGGCTCCAGATATTGCTTAGTTGCTTTCTAAAAGGACTGAACTACCATATCCTTCCTATGCAACTGGGGAAACTGAAGCTCAGAGAAGGCAGCAACTTTCTCAAGGTCATCTAAGAAATGGAGTCAGCACCAGACAGTTTCACACCTGCTGCCATCTTGGGCCTCAGCAGAGGGTGGAGGGGAGACCAGGAAGACTCCAAGTGGCATCTACTTGGAAGATCCCTGAGTACATGTAACTTATTGTACAACTGGGGAAACTGAGGTTCAAAGAGGGGAGGGGGACTCGCTCATGGTAATTACTCTTAAAGGATATGTTGGTGCCCCTTGTCTCTTGAGTGTGACCACTTTGGAAGAAAGCCCTCCTGGATGGTAACAGCCCCGATGGCCCCACCCTAGTCATCCTCATCCAGCCCTGACCACTTGGGTATTGCTCACATCCTCTTACAGAATGAATGTCCCTGTTGCCAGAGACTCTCATGAGCATGAGGGCCAGGCTAGGATCTGGAACCTCAGCATCAACTCCAAGAAACTGAGGTGACATGACGAAGGAGCTGCAGGTCTCCGGGCCATCCCCGAGTCCCAGGACAGGGCTTCCTCTGCAGCCTCCCCCAGCTCTGCCGAAGCATCCAGTGACAGGGAGCTTACTCTCTGAGGCATTGTGAGTGGCTCTGTGAACAGCATGAGGCAGTCAGGCAGGCTCAAGTCCTAGATTTGTTTTCATTTTTCTACGTGGCTTTGGAAAGGTTACATAACCTCTCTAAGCCTTGGTTTCCTCACTGCTTTTAATACGTGCTTTTGGCATTGACCAGTTGTGTGGCCGTGGGCAAGTCCTGCCCTTCTCTGGGCCTCAGTTTCCCCATCTGTGCATGATCTTCCAGGCAGTAGACCTCCAGTTCAGCATACAGAGTTGATGGGTCGGCAGGGGATATTTCCATATACCCATAATGACAAGGTCTGTACTTTGGATACTACAAGAATGAATAATTGATTTATGGCATTTAAGAAAGGCCAGAGGCCACCTCTGGGACTCGGCTGGGGCCCCGGGTCATCTTGCTGGGCTGATGGGAGCAAGAGCAGCAGAGCAGCATGTCCTTTATTGTGCTCATTAAAGCCTGGGGCTGTGCAGAGGGAGTGGACCCCCAGATTCCCTGGACAGTCTCAGGATCCTCACAGAATCCTAGAACTGCAGCCTGGCAGAATCTGTGTCCTAGATCCTAGAGACCCCAAGTTCTAACACCATGGGCACTTCCCCTGGAGGTTCTGCCTCCCAGGAAGCAGCTTCATATTTAGATGGAGCTTTGAATCCTCTGACATCCACTTCATCCTCAGGAAGATTGGTGAGGCCAGAGTTACCCCATTTCACAGAAGAGGAAACAGGCTCAAAGACAGCCAGAGACTTGCTCATGGTCACACTAAGCTGAATTTCTCATCAAAAGAAAGAAAGATCACTGGATGGGGCATGAGCAGCCCTGGTATCTTAGCCTCAACTCTGCCCCTAACTGACAATGTCACCATGAGTCTCAGTTTCCCTACCTGTTGACAGAGAGGTTCCCACTAGAACCTAAGGTCCTTCCCTTCCACTCATAGCCTTTCATTGCTTGACAAAAGGCAGGTAATGGAGGTTGGGAGGGGGGTGAGGAGGAAATAGGTGTCCCTCCAGCTTCCAGGTAACTGCCTGAGACAACACTTTGAACCTGAGGTTGGAGCCCACAAAGGACCCTGGGCTGTCCCAGAACCATAGCATCCACCATCCCTGCCCAGAACCCAACTAAGGGAGTTAGGAGGCCTGGGGTCTGGGGCTATCTCCTCTGCTGGGACCTTGGTCTCTCTGAGCCTTAGTTTTCTTGTCTATAAAGTGGGCAACCAGAAGTCCTGGCCCTAGGCTAAGCCCTGCCCTCAGTCTTACAATTCCATCCCTAACAGCATCAGGAAGGAGCCCCTATATCTCCCTAGCTTGCCTCTGCTTTGTCTGAGGGTTTCATTCCAGCTCCTACGTCTTTTTTCCTCTTGTGCTCTAGGCTTCAGTAATGTAGGCTGAGTCATGAAGGGAACACCAGGGGCCTCTAAGGATACTGGCAGCTGCAGTCCCATGTGTTCCAAACCCAGCCATCCTTCAAAGCCAGCTCCTATGCCTCTTCCTCCAGGAAGCCTTCCCTAAGCCCCTAGTGGGATCCCTCTGCCTCCCAGCTTGGGGCACAGAATTCCCTTTTTCCTGGTTCCAGTTATTTCATTGTTCACTTACATTGCTAGGCTGGGGGCGTCTGGGGAACAAGATCCACGTATGTCATCTCTCTTACCAGCTTATGGTATTCACCCACTTCCCACCTACAGTGTCACATCAGCCTCAACAAAGCCCTGGGAGGGGGACAGGACAGAGGCTCAGAGGAAGTAGACTTTCCCAAGGCCACACAGAGAAGTGGTAACAGAGGTCTAATAGCCAACCTGGGAGAGAGGCATAAACCTAAGCCCTAGGTCCCCACCTGTGCCTGAGAGCCCCACCCACCCTGCTCAGCCCACATTCACTCACCAGTTGAATTCATCATAGTCATTGTGGACTTCCCACCAGAAGTAGAGCCAGGTAAGTGTGAGCCCAAAGGTGAAGGTGAGGAGCAAGAACCAGAGGCGTTCCCACTGGAAGAGCAGAGAGAGGAGAGGGGTCATGCATGCTTGAGGCAGGCCTCCAGGCTTCCTCCCACCCAGAATGTTTCCCCTTCTCCCCTTTCATAGCCAAACCCAACAGGCAGGGATTACTGCCCTCTTAGCACAGGGGAGGAATTGAGGCCCAGAGAGGGGAAATGACCTGTCCCACATCCCACAGACCAAAGTCACACAGTGGTGGGGAGCTAGGGGCAGGAGTCAGGGGTCTCCCTAGAGCTTTTGTTGCATCCTGAGGCCTTTTCAGTGGGTACCTGTCTCCTATTCTGGCAGTGACCCCCAGAAGCAAAGGTCACATCTGCCCTGAAGCCTTAGCCCTGGCACAGTGACTGAAGTTTGTGAAGTCACACCCTTCTCCTCAGTTTTTTGTTGTTGTTTAGTGGCTTTTTTTTTTTTTTTTTTTTTCTCTTTTTGTGAACTTTTACACAGCAAAACAATTAACAATTTAATTTCTACATATACCATTCATGTTGTTGTTGTTGCTATGTGTCATCGAGTTGGACCTGACTCATAGCGATCCCTCCTTGGGTTTCCAAGGCAGTATCA